CTAAGCTAGGTAGACAGAAAAAAAATAGAAATTTGTCTCTATGCAATTGTGAGATACATAGTGTATATCTTAAACACTGGATAGAAATTAAAACATGTATCAATTGATGGCCTCTATTGATTGATTTAAGGCAAGTAAACACCGGGAAAAGTAAGTGGCTTATGCAGCCTCACATAGAAGAAAAATTTCTTATTTTTCAACAATCACTCTGTGGAATCTAACCTACATGAAATGAATTATATACGTTATTTCTTTCCAATGCAAGTTTGATAGTATAAGGAGATCATGTTGATATTAAGATTTAATTTCTCAAATTAATGGTTTAAAATCTTCATATTTTCATCTTAGAATTCTCAAGTCTAAAAACTGCTTGAATTTTTATTGCTCTTATGATAAAGTCTAAATACCTGAACTTGAGGTTCTCTGGTCTTACAGCTGAACTTGGCTTACCTGCCTAAGTCTTATCTCTGGTCACGCTTGTCCTCACATTCCAAATCTCATACATCCTTGAACTACTCATGGTTCTTAACACAATTTGCTCCTTTTAGTCTCACTGCTGTTTCCTCTGTCAAAAATGCTCTTCTAATACCCAGAAAACACTTACTTCACGTCTCACTTTAAACTCAGTGTTCTTTGGAAGAGCATCTGCTTATGTGCTACCCTAGCAGGCTACACATTTTTCTATATATTTAGTTCCTATCACAAGGTACTACCATACAATTGTCTAATTACTTGAATGTATTCCCTAAAAGGTCATAAATATCAGAATTTTTATTTTATTACGTTTATATAACATTTATATTTTAAGTCCTGAGCACACAGGACTTACATATGGCACACGGATATTAAAAAATATTAGTCTGTTGAATAAAGTTCTACGTATCGAGAATTAATTCATCAAAAATCACTAATTCCCTTTTTTAAAACAAAAAAAGGTTCTGATAAGAACTATTCAGCATCATACAAATATTCATTTAGTAAGGAACATGTGAAATAATGAAAACTTACAAAGAAACAGACATATATGTATTCAGGTATATGAGCTGAATGAAAAATAGTATTAATCTCCCTTCATAATATTTTATCTTTTTTCAAATTATAACAACAAAAAAAGCAGTAAAACATGGCACTTGATGGTAAATGTTTTACCTTGTTTTAGATCAGCATTTCTTGTAACACCATCTGACAAATAGCAGTTTGGTAAAGGGTATGATGAAAACATTGGCCAAGGATATGGATCATCACCCTAAAAAAGAAGACAGATGACTTTAGGAAGTAGTTTAATATTAAATTTCAAGACTTTCTGAAATATCACTTAAATTGGCTTTTGTTTCATAAATTCCAGAGTTGTAGCATAACTAACCAAAAGCTATCTGACATTATAATTCAACACTCTAATGGATACTAAAATGAAATATAGAAACAACATTAAATAAGTACTAAACACAAATATGATAACTTGTTGTAGCAACTAGATTGCTCACAAAACTATTTCTCTTATGCTGTCAATCATTTCTGGCTCACCATTCTTGAAGTACTTAATATAACAACAAACAACAGTAAAAATAACAAAAAAACCCTTCAAGAGAAAACCAAACTCTATGGATACTGATGAAAGGAGAGGTACTCAATATAGCCAATGAAACACAATAAGAATTAGTCATCTAATAAAAATCAGGTATCATGAAGGGGAAAGATATTAAAAGTGAAAAAATTTTAATATGTGTTCAAAGACACACAAGGAAAATGACAAGTTTTTAATAAAAGAATATCCTACTCTGCAGCACAAACTACCACTCAAGACACCTTGCCTTGAAGAATACTATTTTCATTAGAAAGTGTTTACTTGCATCCTAAAGTTTTTCTAGTAACAAAAGTTCAATTCTGTGATGTGGATATTCAGAAGTTGTTTATTGTCCCTTGAGTTGGCTACCTTGCTTCAAAATGTCAGAAAAACATTCCCCCCTCCTCTTTACCCCACTTACCTTCTCTAGTATCCTTGGAGGCAAAATTCGTTCCATTGGCCCACCAATAAGATTAATTCTAACAAGAACATGATTTCTCTCCACTGATAAGCTATCAATTATAAAATCTCTGAAAAATAAATATATCAATTGTTACTGTTAATTGAATATGATTTTATTTTAAGATGTCAGTGGAATGTAGAGGAAAAAAAGCAATACAATTTCTATAGAAGAGTCTGAAAAATTCACTTTTTATCTTACAGCTTTCTTAGCTACAGAGCAAAGAATTGGAGATATAATTCATATAATGAGATGAATGAGATTAAGAATATTTCCTTGATAAACGTCACATGTTAAAAAGAAATGGGATTAAGATGTGCATTATTTCCACACCAACTCTATCACATTTTTTAAAAAATTTATTCATTTTATTTATTTATTTTTGGCTGCGTTGGGTCTTCGTTGCTGTGCGCAGGCTTTCTCTCTAGTTGTGGAGAGCTGGGGCTACTCTGCCTTGCGTGGCCTTCTCATTGCCGTGGCTTCTCTTGTTGTGGAGCATAGGCTCTAGGCGTGCAGGCTTCAGTAGTTGTGGCACGCAGGTTCACTAGTTGTGGCACATGGGCTTAGTTGCTCCGTGGCATGTGGGATCTTCCCGGACCAGGGTTTGAACCCATATCTCCTACATTGGCAGGCAGATTCTTAACCACTGCGCCACCAGGGAAACCACATTTTTAGTCAAAATTCCCTTAAGTTCTAGACCCAGTGACAATTCAAATTCTTCACTTTGTATCCTCCACACTTCCTGCAGCTGTTAATACTATCCTTCTATATCAAACCTAGAGTTTTCAGTAATGTGGGCTGGTATTCTGTACTATTTTTCCAAGGTCTAGCTAGGGTGGAGGCACACTTTTTTAAAATTACAGACACAAAAACAATGCCAGCTATTGAACGTGTGTTCAAGATAAGTCAACCGAATCAAGGTAATGGTAAGTATGACATATTAATAGAAAAAAGTTTTTAAGATATTACCATAACCTCGTTTTGCAATAATCAGAATTTATAACTATGAACTAACATAATTAAGAGAATGAAGTAAAAATTGCCTCTATAAGGGACACAAAATTCAAACGTTTTGTTTAATGGGTCATCTTTCACATGAGTCTGAATTTAAAGCTGATACAACTTAATACAGTTAGGTCTTAACTAAAAAACAAAAAACTAAACAGAAACTTAGAAAGTAGCACTCTGTAAGCTGTCTCCAAGAACACTGTCTACAATCTTTTTAACTGTGACATTTATGCTTTATTGCTTTTTACTCTTATTTAAATCTACTGAATTCAGATAATGGAAAAACATTAAATAAACTGTACAGAAAATTACTGCCTCAACAGAACATCTGTAAAGAAAGCTGTTATTGTCTCTTAATTATTTTATTATTATTATTTTTTACCTGTGACTGTCAGAGGTCTCTAAGGTATTTTCTTCTTGAGCATTTAGTAACATTTCAGATACTTGATACTGAGCCTCCAATAGGAGAAAAGTGTCTAGATCACAGCATACCACACTTAATAACCTAAATAAAAAGGAACAATAAAAGTAGATTTTCAAAAATATATCCTAAAAGTTTAGAAACTTTCTTGGTGTCTCAAACCAAGAGACATGGAAATTAAAATTTTGTAAGAAAAATCAGGTAGTTATTTCAGATATATTTTTAATCATTTTGAATAATTGACTTCAAAAATTTTTCTAATTGAAATATCATTTAAAGACCATGGGTTATTTCTAATCTAGTTTAAAAATTTATCTAAATCTAGGAATAATAAATTTTATTCTCAACTGATACTTAATTTAAAAATGAATTAGGGAACATTAGCAAATCTATAAAAACTACAAATTGCCACCACTTTTTACTCAATTAAATACAGAAGGAATGACAGAATCATCTTGGTACCAATCCAGGAAATATTTATTAGGTGAAATGTCAATGGCTAACTTTATAATTGTCAGATAAATCTGAGAACACCAAAACACAATGATCTATCTTAACATTACTAAAAGTAGAAATCATGCGGTTCCTATTGTGATGAAAAAGGATGTGCAGTGAGTGCACCATCTACAAAATATTCTTGCCAAAAAAACGGAACCTGAAACTAACCAATCCTAGATATCTCATTATCAGTTTATACTGATACAAGGCTCAGAGAAATATGTAAAAAGACACCACAAGAGGGAAACAGTCAACACAAAAACCAGAATTTGGAGAATACTACACATAATATATTTCTTCTGGAAAAAAAAAGGTTCATAAAAAAAACAGGGGATAAAGGAAGTTATAAATTAAAAGAAAAATAAAATGAATGTGAAGATTTTGTTTTGATCATGATTCAACCAAAAACTGTGAAAATGCATTTTGAGTCACACAGGAACTATCTCCAAGGTATGTTAAGTAAAAAAGAAGAGGCACAAGATGTGTATAGTGGTAGCATTTGAACCAAAATGGAGAAACATTTGAATACATATTTAAGTACATATTTGTTTTTACGTAGACTCCCTCTCCAAAGACAAAAAAGAAACTGGTAAGAGTTGTTAGCTGGGTGGGGGGGGGGGGGTGTGTGTTGGCGGGGGGGGGGGGGGGGGGTTGGAATCTGACAGACTGAAGGGAATATACTTCTCATTGTATATCTTTTACAGTTTTTTAATTTTGGTGCAATCACATGTTTTATCTAGTCAATAGCATCCATAAATAGAAAAATGTTTGGTGGATGCATTTAACAGTCAAAAATGGCAATTCAATATCACTCCCTAGAACCTGGCAAGATAACCAAATATATCCAAAACTAAGGGAAAATCTACTATCAATTTAGAGAAATGTTCCGTACTTAGTTTATAAAAGTAAGAACATTTGTGCTAGATAAAATGAAAAGAATACTTAGACTTCTAGTTTAAAGATGGTAGTGTAAGTTGGTATTTCCCTTTTCTCAGCCTAGAGATAACCCCAAGGATTGAGAAGGAAGGAAAAGATCATAAAAATGTTTAGCCACAAAATGAGCTGAAGGACAGTCAAGGGCAATCAAAACTGGGCAAAGACCACTATGGGAAGGAAAGAAACTGAGAAAGTATGTCATGGCTGCCCATGAAAAACAACAGAATTAATTTCTCAAAAAAATTCATAAAAACAAAATTTTCAGAAATGAGGAGTATACTCAGATGAAACTCTCTGTTTACAACAGTGGAAACAGGATACACGAGACAGAGGCAGGAAGATCCCTGGTCGTAGTAATAGAAGAAACAAGGTAGAACATGGAGTCACAGACAAATCAATTATTAGTTATTGGTTACAGGTTATAGAGACAATTATTAATAATTAAAACTGACTACATGCATAGTGAGATTGGCAGGGACAACACAAAAACATACACAGACTGAAAACTCAGGCCCACAGAAAAAGTTCAACTAACTGGGAACATGACCATAACTTCTCTTCAACATGAGCCTCCTGTAAACAGCTGATGATGAAAGAGCTCACACCCGTCCAAAAACAAATACCACAGGACGCATACAAAGGTGCTCCAAGAAAAAGGAGGAAATAACAGGATGAGCAGATGGCAAATACAAACACACAGGGCAGCCATTATACACTCCAAAACTATGACCAAATAATTGTCCGTGAATTCTTTAAGTTATATAAATGTATCAAATCAACAGGTTATATAACTTACAGAATGTTATATTGCAATTATCTCTCAACTGAGAAGTTTAATAAGGCAGTAGTCTCCAATAAGCTCTTTGCACAAAGTAGAGCTGTATAAGCACAGGGAAGAAACAGCAAAACAACCAGAAAAGATAAAACATGAACTGGCAGAGCTAAGCAAAGAAGCAGAAGAACAAACGTGTCACAGAAAGTAATGCACAATTAGAAATAGCAAAAAAGAACAGATGCTGCTAAAAGCACAATAAATGATACAGGGAACAGAATGAGAGTGTGAAAAACATAATGACAATAAAGAATTTGAACTCTTGATTTCTTGAAGAGAAAACAGAAATAACCTAACAGGATATATCTTTAGAGATACTAGTCAAATTCCACGAGAAAAGCAACCATGACAGCATGTCCAGGGTAAACTGAACCAAAAGAGTCAACACTGAGACAGAGCTATTAGACTTAGAGAAAGAACCACTGGGGTATCCAGGGAAAAAAATAAGTCACTAACAGAGGTGGAGTTGGGGGGAAGGGAATCAAGCTGTTCTCAGATATACCCACAGCAACATTCAATACCAGCAGGACAATGAAGCAATACTGGGAGGAGGTCTAACACCAGATAGTAACACATATTACAAAGCTGTGAAAATTTTAAAAGTGTAGTAATGGCATGAATAAACAAAAGAAAATTCAAACAGATGCAAATATATAGAGGAATTTAAAATATGTCAAAGGCAGATAGAATTTCCTGGTGGATGGAATATGTGGAGCAAAAAGAAGAAAGATACCAAGGATGACTTCAGATGTTTTGTTAGAAAAATAAGAAGGATCAAGTTGTCACCAACTAGGTAATAAGGCTTTAAGTTATAAAGGTTTAGGGAGGACCTAGTGACCTTTCTACTTTCTTTAGGTTACTAAATCAGTGAACAGGTAATGAAAATAACCTCAACATTCTCTAGTTTATGATTTGAAAAGAGGAGTCCATAGACTCTAGATGGACAATGAGATGATCCAAGGTGAATTAGAGTAGCTCTGAAAGCAGATACATGCCTGGACTGAAATCTCATTAGAGAATGAGTAAATAGAAACTTTAACAAATGATGTAAGACTTTTAAAATCCTACAAATACTAGGAATAATGTAAGGTTAGCAAATTTGATCCAGCAGTAAATTAAAAGAATAGCATACTGTGATCAAGCACTGTTCATTCCAGGAAGAAAAGGACAGTTTAATATTGAAACATCTCCTGATATAATTCATGACATCTATATGTAAAAGAAAATATATAATCATCTGACCAGATGCGTGAAAGCTACTTAACCTAAGATTCAACATCCACTCTCTACTCCCTGTCCTCCAAAAAATAGCATTCCCATTAAGGTCATGAAAACTGCAAAACTGTCCATTATTTAGCATTGTTTTAGAAGTTTA